TCTGTCAGCAAAGGTTTTTTTTTTTGCAGTTTTTGGCCGGGGCTGGGTTTGAACCCACCACCTCTGGCATATGGGGCCGGCGTCCTACTCCTTTGAACCACAGGTGCTGGCCCACACATGCTTTTATGTAGGAGCAAATACAGGTTAGAGATTGCCAGTCTGCCAAGGTGATTCCTCCCAGCAGCAGCAGTATATGAGAGTTGTGGTTGCTTCATATCCTTACCAATATTCGGTGCTTCCTGGAAGAGATATTTTTTAAATGAAAAATTAACAGGACTTGCTGTCTGATGCAGATAGTTGTGCCTTACAGGAGGTTGCCACTTAGCAAATGCTGGTCAGTGCTGCTCCAGCGAGCTGAGGAGAAGAATGAGGGATTGGTGGTGCCACAGTTTCCGGCTGGGGAGACCCAGAATTCCTCTTACATGCCAGTGACTGGGGTGGAAGTGCTGATGAACTTTAGATTAACACAGAACTTTCCACTTGAAGAGTTAGAACAGCACTTATCTCATCTTTGTAACTTTCTGATTAACCAAGGCAAGTGTTGGGTACTGTGTGGCAGGGAAAAAGCCCAGGCTCTTCGGTCAGCTGCTCGGAGTTAAGTGCTGTGGCCATAAGCAAGTTCCCAACTCTTGAAGCTCTGGTTTTGCTGTCCTGAAAATGGGTATGATGCTGCTTCATTTGGGGGCTGTGGGTGCATAAGAGGAGCCTCAATGTGAGAGCCCCAGGTTACTCCCTAGAAATAGGGGGCAGTGAGTCATCAGTGCCTGTGGTCGTTACCAACAACTCTATTAAGTGCATAAGTCCTTTTACAGAAGTTGGCAACCCTGAGTGTGCAGGGGACTGAGCAGCTGGCTTGAGAGGGGTCTGAGAATATCACCTGCTTGGTTGGCTTCCATGGGGGTGATGTCAGGTTCATGATCAGCCTCTCCAGGTCCTCACTGAGACACTGTTCCCCACCACCCCATTCCTGAAATTACTTTGAAATTATTTGTTCATTCATTCATTCAACCATTACTGAGCTTTACTATGTACATTCTAATACAGTCGTGAGCAACACAGACTCCAGGTCAGATGCTTGGTTCAAGTCTCAGCTTTTGCTGTGTGGGTAGCCTCTGCCAAGTCTTAACTTCTTGTATCTAGGTTTCTGATTTTTATTTTTTTTAAATTTTTTGAGACAGAATCTAACTCTGTCGCCACAGGCTAGAATGCCATGGTGTCAGGCTAGCTCACAGCAACCTTAAACTCCTGGGTTCAAGCAATCGTCCTGCTTCAGCCTCCCAAATAGCTGGGACCATAGGTGTCCACCACAATGCCTAACTAGTTTTCCTATTTTTAGTAGAGATGGGGCGTCTTGCTCTTGCTCAGGTTGGTCTTGAACCGCTGAGCTCAAGAGATGCTCTTGCCTGGGCCTTCCAGAGTGCTAGGATTGCAGGTATGAGTCCCCATGTCCTGCCACTTTCTTCTTTTTTCTTTCTTCTTCTCCTTTTCCTCCTCCTCCTCCCACTTTGTTGCCCTTTCTTGTTAGAGTGCTATAACAGTCACAGCTCACAGTAACCTCAAACTCTTTGGCTCAAGCAATCCTCTTGCCTCAGTCTTTCATTTTTAGTAGAGATGGGGTCTCACTCTTATTCAGGCTAGTCTTGAACTCCTGAGCACAAAGTGATTTACCCACCTTGGCCTTCAAGGATTACAGGCGTGAGCCACCGCGCCTGGCCAGTTTCTTGATTTTTCTTCTCCTTCTTCTTCTTTTTTCAAAGTGAAGCAGCAATGATCCCTGCCTTCTAGGGCTGGTGCAAGAATTCAGTGAGATAATCCATGTCAGTGCCTAGCCCTTGGGCATGTCGCAGTCCTGGGGTATAGAGATGGCCACCCCCAACCCCTGCCCCTAACCATAGGCTGAAGGAAGGTGGCTTATCTGCAACTAAGTACAGAATGCCTTTTCTTTTCTTTCTTTTTTTTTTTTGCAGTTTTTGGCTGGGGCCGGGCTTGAACCCACCACCCCTGGTATATGGGGCCAGTGCCCTACTCCTTGAGCCACAGTACTAAAGAGATGAACTCAAAGCCCTGACCTAGAACTAGCCAGTGGCCCCTCCAGTACAGGCTGACCTTTCACAGCTCCTTAAAAAGAGCTTCTGCAGTGGCTCATGCCTGTAATCCTAGCACTCTGGGAGGCCAAAGTGGGAGGATTTCTTGAGCTTGAGAGTTTTAGACCAGCCTAAGCAAGAGTGAGACCTCATCTGTACTAAAATTAGAAAAATTAGGTGGGTGATGGTACATGCCTGTAGTCCCAGATACTTGGGAGGCTAAGGCAAGAGGATCACTTGAGGTCAGGAGTCTGAAGTTGCCATGGGCTGTCATGACACCATGGCACTCTACCCACGGTGACAGAGTAAGAGTCTGTCTCAAAAAAAAAAAACAAACCAAAAAACCACAGTAGCTTCCAGCAGAGTTCTGTTGTTGGCATAATTTTGAGATGTAGGTATAAGGTCTTTCTGTAGCAATTAGCGTGGTACAGAAGAGTTCTCAACACTGATCAATTTTGGCTTCTAGGCCTCAATGAGGTAGGCGGTGTTTACCATTTGTAGCAGTGATATAGAGTCCCACGCCATTCCGTCTCTCCTTCTTCCAGGATCCACATCTTCTGTTTCGCCTTTTTCCAGGCCCTTCCACAATGCACATGCCTCTGCTGATGAAGTTAGCTCTGACAGAAGCCAGAGCTGTGGCCTCAGACAGGGATCTAGATACTAAAAATATCTCGTGGTCGTCTCTTTACAACTTAAAGAGCAGTGTTAGAGGCAGTGGCTGGGGAGTCTTCCCAACGCTGACTCTGTCCAGTGCTTTGGGTTGTGGAGTCCCCGAGTGTCTGGTCTTGCTCACCTGAATCTGAGAATTTCTCCAAATGGTGTTAATCTGGTAGAAGGCCAGACCCTTGGTGGGGCAGATGGAGGAGGATGGGCTGGAGATGTGGCCAAGCAACCTGTGATGCTTAGCAGACAGAGCAGCTGATGCAGCGGGGCTGGGCCATAAAGACAGCACTGGCTGGGAAGGGCTGGGAAGAACTGGGTGGTCAAGATTACCCTGAACTCTCCCTCCCTGGGGGAAGCTAGGTTGGAGACCAACACAAATATGATCTGCATAGCCAGTTCTTCTAGAGTTGAAAAAGATGACTGTTTCTTTGGATGATACCAAAGAAGTAGCTGGTTTGTGTTTAGGGCCATGTTGTACAACAATAATCGATCTTTTTGTTCTTTTTTTTTTTTTTTAGAGACAGGGTCTCTGTTTGTCACCCAGGCTGGAGTGCAGTGGTGCAATCACATCTCACTGCAGCCTCTAACTTCTGGGCTCAAACAGTCCTCCTGGCTCAGGCTCCTGTGTAGCTGGGACTACAGCCACATGTCATCATACCTGGCCAGTTTTAACATTCTTTTTGTAGAGATGGTTTGTCCAGCTTCTGGCCTCAAGCAATCTTCCTACCTCACCTTATGAATAGCTGGGACTATGGGCACGTGCCACCACGCCTGGCTAGTTTTTAAATTTTCTTATAGACATGAAGTCTCACCACATTGTTGCCCAGGGCTGGTCTCAAACTCCTGGCCTCAAGGGTCTGCCTCAGTATCCCAGAGTGCTGGGATTTAAAGGCATGAGGCACTGTACCCAGATGAATTTGATATGAATGGTGAGGAGTACAGTATCCAAGAATGAGGAAGGAACCTCGGAGTAGTGGCTTGGACTCACCCTGGGACAAATGCTCAGGAAATGGAATCGCAGGAGGAATCCTCCATGCCACTGCAATATTCTCTCCCTGGGGCTTAGTGCCTGTAGCTCAAGTGGCTAAGGCACTAGCCACATACACCCAGAGTTGCTGGGTTTGAATCCAGCCCAGGCCCACCAAACAACAATAACAACTACAACCAAAAAATAGCTGGGTGTTGTGGTGGGTGCCTGTAGTCCCAGCTACTTGGTTAGGCTGAGGCAAGAGAATTGCTTAAGCCCAGGAGTTGGAGGTTACTGTGAGCTGTGATGCCATGGCACTCTACCCAGGGTGACAGCTTGGGGCTCTGTCTCAGAAAAAAAAAAAAAATTCTCTCTTGGACTTTGCCTCTCCCTAATCTTTTTCAGCCTCTGTTGCTACTAGGCATATTAACTTGAATCCTTAAATGTGGGTATCAGGTACATTTGGGTGGTGTTTTACCATTCCAGGTAGACATTTGCTGTGTGAAACTCATACCTTATATTTGTAGATGCCCTCTGTGCTCCGTAGTCTGTGCCAAGGGCCCTGCTCCTGAGAGGCTCCACACTAGAAAACAGTACATGCTTATTAATGCCTCCTCATTCATTAAATACTGAGTACTTACTATGTGCCAAGGCCTCATGAAGTTGCATGTAGTTTTATTGAGATTGTGACCAAAAATAACGTGACCTTGCCAGTCTCTATAGACATGGCTTACCTCTAAATGACCAAAGCCATCCTCAGAAGGGCCTCACCTAGTATATTTAATCATAGTCCCAATTAGGATAATGGTTAATAAGCTATGAAACACAGCCCAATAAAATGATCACTTAAAGAACAAAGACGTTTTTCTGTAAGGTAGTAGTTTCAAGGCCAGAGGAGTTCCTGGGCTCTATGCTGTCAATCACAGATCCAGGTACTTCCATCTTGTTGCTCTGTCTGTTATTCCTCAGACCTGGATGATCACAGCTGGGTTCCAGACAGTGGAAAGGGAGGACAAGGTATGCCCATGTCCTGAGACCTAGATTGGAAGTGACATCACTTCTTCTCACATTCCATTGAGAACTCTGACATCCAGCTACACCTAGCTGCCAGGATACTTGGGAAATGTAGTCCCTAATAAAACTTGAATAATTATGGAAGAAGAGGAGAATGGATTTTGGTAGACACTGGGTAATCTTTTTTGTTAACTTGTATCTAATGCAGCTCTTTGTGACTTCATAATATAAATGTATCCAGATTATAAATGTTGGTTGTTTTGCATTTTAAGAAAGAAGACTTGAACTTGCCACACTGAGTCTATAGACAGTTCCACAGTAATGAATCAGCGCATCTGTAAAGGAATGGAAGAAAACAAGGAAAGGTAAAAATGTCTTTAAAAATTAAAATTTAAAAAATTCTTGTATTCAACAATTAAATGCACAGTTGCACAGTAGGGCTGCCATTAAGCCCCTATATGTCAGTAGAAGCCATCAAGAATTTGGAGATAGTAAAATTTCACAAATTTCCTTTTCATCTCTGCTTTCTGATACAGGAGGGATGCCATTGTTAAGTGTGAGGGATTTCTTCTAAGACTTAGAGGGAAGAGTTGGTATAAATAGAACCGACTATTCTATGGTATAGAATAAAATATTTTATCCTGAAACTATGGACGTTTAAGGAACATTCTAAGAAACGTTTATGTTCCCAGATTGTGTCTCTATTTGCAAGTGGCCATTCCCCCAGAGGACAAAGGCAGACCCTGAGCTCTTGGCAACTACATCTTTTGGAATTACCATTTCTTCTGCTTTTCTGTTTTTGTCCTTTGCTAGGTGTTCAAGGTTGCAGTGTATTATGGTTGTTCCTATGAATAGCCACTGTATTGCAGCCTAGGCAACACAGTCAGACCCCATTTTTATAAAAAATAAATATATAAAAATAATTTTCAAAGTCTGGGCGTGGTGGCTCATGCCTGTAATCCCAGCACTCTGGGGGGCTGAGTCGGATGGATTTACCTGAGCTCCCAGGTTTGAGACCAGCCTGAGCCAGAGTAAGACCCCATTTCTAAACATAGCCGGGAGTTGTGGTGGGCGCCTGTAGTCCCAGCTACTTAGAAGGCTGAGGCAGGAGGCTTGCTTGAGCCCAAGAGTTTGAGGTTGCTGTGAGCTATGATGCCATAGCACTCTACCGAGGTTGACAAAGTAAGACTCTGTCTCTAAAAAAGAAAAAAAGAACTTTTTAAAAATTTAATTTAATTTTAATATCCAAGAAATGCATAGATATACTTTCCTTGGTAATAATAAGTGATGCCATGGCCTTTTCATTTCCAGCTCCACCCCACTCCTGCCCTTCCCGAAAGTAACCATGTTACTTTGTACCTTTCCTTCCAGACTTCTTTTAGGTTTTCTAGATACAAAGAAAAAATCAGTCTTTCTTTCCTCCTTTCTTTTTAAAAATACACTTGCTGTTATACTATGTTTGTTGGCATATTTTGTTACCCTTTTTTATAAATTCTGTAATGTGCCATAGAATATTTCCAAGATGGAATATGTGAATCTGTTTTTATGCTGCAGCAAATAAGGTAGTATAGCCATAGTATGAAATTCCAACTGTTTGTTGAGCTATTTCCCTGATGGTGGTGGTTGGTTCTGGGTTTTGCCCTTAAGGTAGTGTTGTGATGTACCTTCTCGTACATATTCCCCTTGAGTGCACGGCAGATAGTTCTCTAAGGTGGTAACCAAGGAGTAGAGTTGCTGGGCCATCATGTGTGTGCCTTTGAGACCTTAATAAACATTACTGACACATTCTCAAAAGGGTGCTGCTTGTCAGCTGGCCTCCAGATCTCCTGTCTGCCCACTGTCCTGCCATACCTCAGGTCCTCTGCCTTTAATTCTGCTGGTCTGTAGGGGGAACAATGGTATCTCTCCGCGTAATACCTCCCTCTTCTCTTTACTCTGGGGATATCATCTCTTTAGGACTCTCTGTTGCTTGGTTTCCTCTCCCATAGGAGCTGCTAAGCCTCTGCCCTCATGGGGACCCAGCGACCTATCCCAAGACCCAGGTTTCTAGGCAGCTGGGCAGCCCTGGCCCTTCCCTGGAGTAGTTGCTGCATGATTTTCTCTTCTGCTCTGGGAGAGACCATCCCAGGATTAGCTGCTTCTCTTTTGACCCCTGATGGGGCTTAGGGGTTAGACTCTCTGGGTTAGACGTCCCTACTTCAGGTGGTTTCATCTGCCTTCAACACCACCAGCCACCACCATCATCGGCAACAATTTGAGTATTTACTGTGTGTCAGCCGCTGTGTGGCTTGCCAGGCCTACTTAGCTCTTTTCATTCTCACAATGGGTTCCATAAAATAGAGACTTGTGTTGTTATCTCCATTTTTGTGGCCACTGGGGGAAAATGAAAATTTATTCAAAACCAACCAAATGGCAAAAGGAACATCAAAAGCCCTGTATTGCCATGGAGCTCCAGGTCCTATCCAGTGTTCTTGCTTGGAGTGATGAACAGACCCCCATTGGCCGAGTGCTGAGTTCTCCTTGGGGACATAGCTTTGGAGCCATCGTGCCATGTTTGGAGTTGCTTTGCCTGTGCTCAGTTGTTAATTCAGCATCCGTGGTATTCCCAGTGGAGAGTGGGGCTCCTTGTCTAGCATATGAGCACATATTCTTGCATATCTTCAGCACCTCTGGTCTTGGGTACAGTTGTGGGTGGTAGCCTTACTCACGTCTATCTAAATATGTCTCTGGAAAGGGGTCTTCTATGTCGAGGGTATTTGTCATGGGGGCAAATATACTTCATTAAAGTCAGTACACCCCCTGAGCTGTGAGGGAGAGGAAGTGCTTTACTTGCCCTTGTTAGACCTAATCAATCATTCTACTCCCTCAAATGCAGGCAGAGTGCAATTTCAAATGCGTTCCTCAGTGCCCCCCCCCCCCATGATATATTTCAGAGACATAAAAATTTAGAGCTGGAAGAAATTCTAGGCTCATTGTGTTTAACTCCTCATTACAGTTGTAAGCAGAGAGGCCTAGAGTGATGAAAGGAATGTCCAAGTTCATGCAGTGGAAACAAGCCTTGCTGTGGGGTTCCTGGGGTTTGGCCAGTCTCTTTCCATAATACCACAACTTCCTCTTGTGCGATTATCAGGATCCCTTGAAGGAAGCCAGCCCATTATTGATTAATTGACTATTCATTCAGGGGGCATTTACTGACTACTACTGTGTGCCTCAGTGATAAAGAGATGGGTATGGTATGAATTCTTAGGGAATTCAGAGTCTGGCCGTAGGGAGGCAGTTGAACACGCTATGAGTAGTGGTTAAGTGGAAAACCTCAAATCTCTGCCACTCAGTGGTGGTAATAATAGTATTGCCCACAATAGGTTGTTGGGGGATGTTCTGAGTTAATTGTTCTAAAGCACCGAGCGTATAATTAGCACCCGATAAAGGCAGCAGTTTTCAAATTTGTTTTTTTACTTATTTTTAGTCCTATAGAGGGTAAAGAAGCTAGGAAGATTTTTCTGTTGGGAGACTGATCTGGATTTATGCTTCAGAAATGGTAGTCAGTCAACACAATTTCTCATCTTGTGTGTATTAATCCTTTTAGTGTCTCTCTCACTTACTGGACTGTGAACCTCATAGGGCCAAATCTTACCTCCGATGTTCACTATAATTTACCAAGTATTTGGCACACAGTAGGTGCTTACTAATATTTCTAGACTGATGAGTGTAGGAGGTAGAGTGAAGGGGGGGGCGGGCCCTTGAGGTGAGGTGCTGGGATAAAACTGGTCAGCTAGAAAGACCAGTTTGTCCTGGGCCAACCCCACTTCCTGAGGACAGGGGCTCCCTGGCAGCCCTGCATACAGACCACACCTCCTTCTGTGGCACACATGTGTATTTGTAATTGTTTTGCATCTGCAGTTTATGAACATTTTTACTTATTTGGATACAGAGTCTCACTTTGTTGCTCTGGATACAGTGCTGTGGCATCATCATAGCCCACAGCAACCCTAAACTCTTGGGCTTGAGCAATCCTCTTGCCTCAGCCTCCCTAGTAGCTGAGACTACCAGCACCTGCCACAATGCCCAGCTAATTTTTTTATCTTTAGTAGAGATGAAGTTTTGCTCTTGCTCAAGCTGGTCTTGAACTCGTGAGCTCAAGCAATCCTCCTGCCTCAGCCTTCCAGAGTGCTAGATTTACAGGTGGGAGCCACTGCGCCTGGCCCACATTTTGTCTTTTAATCAAGCAAATTTATTGTGAGGAGGCCTATTTGCATATCATTTATTGATTAATTATTTCTTGTCACTTCTACTTCTGGAAGCTAACTGACATGTTAGGGGCCTAAGAATACAGGATTTTTAGAAGTTGAAGCCTCTGAGGAATGCAGTTTTCTTCTGCCATCAGTGACTGTGGACAGATAATGCCACTTCTCTGTGCCTCCTCTGTGATTCCTCAGCTGTGCAGCAGTGGAGTCAGGCAAGCAGAATTTCTGAACAGGTCCATCAGGTGCAAAGGAGAAAACTTTGAGGGGAGAAGTCCTTGCCTTTCTTGTGAGTCCTTCCTGTGAACAGACCTATGGTGAAATACTTGGATAGGCGCCTGTGGCTCAAGCAGCTAAGGCACCAGCCACATACACCTGAGCTGGCGGGTTCGAATCCAGCCTGGGCCCTCCAACAACAATGATGGCTGCAACAAAAAATAGTAGGGCATTGTGGCGGGCACCTGTGGTCCCAGCTACTTGGGAGGCAGAGGCAGGAGAATTGCTTGAGCCCAGGAGTTGGAGGTTGCTGTGAGCTGTGATGTCACGGCACTCTACCCAGGGCAACAGCTTGAGGCTCTGTCTCAAAAAAAAGAAAAGAAAAGAAAAGAAATACTTGGATAGTCAGGGCTTCTCTCATGCTGGAGAAATGGAAAGGTTTAAGTTAGTTCATTCATTCAGTCATTCATTTATTTGGCCAGTTGGTCAATATCCCATTGCTCAGCTGCCCTCAGCACTTTAGGAAAATGCTTTCCTTGTGGAGCCTTCCACTCAGATTGTGCCTCTTTTTCCTGAAATGTAAGTCCTCTGTGGCTCACTCACCTGTTGTGGTGTGTTTTGAGCACCTCCTCTGTGCTGGTTCCACTAGAGTTGACTCTGCTAGAAGGAAGGGCCTTGTGTGGTGCAGAATACCTGACATCTGGCCCAGGGCCAGGCTGTGCCTCTTTGGAGGGCTGAATTAGCTAGAAAACTGGGTGATTTGTAGATGTCCTCACCAAGGACTTGATCCACAATCAAGTTTCTGCAGCATCTGATGTGGTTTTCATGCTCCTGGGCTAGGCTGATTTGCTCGGTGTTGAGCGCCTTTTCCTGTGGACAGGTTGCTTTCTCTGCTGGCTGTTAGTTGC